ACACCTTCACCGTCCCTATGCATTTGACGATGTTTCTCCGCCTACTGATTGTCAGCTCTTCATCACACAGGCATCAGACATTCACATGCCACTTAGATGAGCCAGTTTGAAAATAGAACGCAGATAGACACGACGGTGACTGATTGCACTCATGTTTCCTTCTCCGAGACACTTGACACCCCGTACAAGTCGATTCTGCAGCATGCTTGTGTCTTCTTCACCAACATCTCCAGATCAGCAAATTGTCCTTGTGATTCGTTTAACTAAATAATTCTGAAGGTTGTCGCAGGTGCGCAAAATTATTTCAGAATGGGAAATACACAAAGCAATTGGCTTTTCGCATTCTTCCGGTTTTTCAAACAAAGCTGGCCCCATTCCTTAGTGAGATGTTTCCCCATTGACAACCCACAAAATTCGTGCTTTTGTTTGCATTGCAGGCACAGTTTAGGATTGCAAAATTAAACTCACTTTTTACGAGGACATGTCAACTGCGGGTTATGCACTTGCTCCAGACTAACTAAACTGAGGGTTCAAATCAATACAAGTGGCGAGGGATTGAAGTCGCAGTCGAAGATGCGGAAAGTGGAGCAGAGAGGTGAAGCCACTACAAAATCTGCTGTTACTACTGCCTCTGCTACTGGCGGTGATGATGGCGCTGATGTTGGTGGTATCACTGACGGGCGGTGACAGGTCCTGTGGTGCAATTGAAACCACCACTTCTTTCTCTTAAAAAATTACCAATTCCTCTTTTTCCTCATCTCCCCTTTCCTCCGCCTCCACCTTGTACTGGGCCTCGTCTGCCTACCTCCTCCTTCTTGTCACTAACAGGAAAACACTGCCAAGTGACACTCACGTCAGTGGCACATTTGACTGAAGGCAGACTGAGGGTGGGCAGAACAAATTGGAAAAAACAAGCTGAAGAGACGAGTCCCCCACCTTCGTGCACCTTCCATGACTGGCCTATGGAAGTGTTTTTCTTTCGTCGTGCATTGCCGCATATGAACATGTGCACATGCACATGTGCGGATGTGCGCTTGTTCACACGCACACATGCGTACGTCACAAGATGTCAACAGAAACGCCACTTTTGTAGATCTTGTGCAACCACCACTGCTTAGGTGCCCCAACTATGTGTTGATAGAATAACAGTGAGTGTTGCGTCCTAGGGCCCCTTCAGTCTGCACACAGTAGATGAATGTGCGGGGGAGAAGCTTCGCCATGGTGATACGAAGTGGCCATCGTGATCGACACTTTGTGGAAACTGAACCGTGGAGAAATCGCGTGGCAATGGTTAAACACTTAACTACATCAAATGCCATTCCGTTGCAGAATTCACTCCTCTTCCCAAGTGTGCCTTGCCGACACCTCCTGCGATCACTTCCATGTCGACCGTTTCAATGTGGTTGCGTGTTTCCAAGTTACCCGTCAAACGAGAATAACCACCATGAGCTGATCATTCCTCAAAGTGGGACCACATTCACTCCCAGTGTCAGTGATGTGTCTTGTTGAATTGGATGGATCCACAGTTGTGTCAAACTCCTCCTTCTACCCCACCCACCTCCTTTCACCTTCACTCTCCTGATTGTAAAGCTCATCCCCACCCACTTGCTCATCCTCACCTTCCTTTGCGTTGGTTCAACGGCTTTGTGTTGCCCAAAGTGTGTCAATTATCTCCATTGAACACCTTCTCACATCCACTTCAATCCACTAGCATTTTCACCTTCTGAAATTTAGAGTCACCCCACACGTGGCCGTTTGCTGTTCCACATCCATGACAGTGACATTGATTTCCGCATGTGCCATCTCTCTAATTCATCAGTCTCTACCAACTTGGCTGTTGATAACAGAGTCAACACCTATCGTCAGAAAGCCTTGATGTTTTCATGCTTGGCACAATTCATCTTTTGGTCAATTGCAGTGTGCCCAGTTGCATGCTATAAACGCCTTTGTTATATTATGAACTCTACTTGCGATATGAAATGGACGATTTGGGGAAGCCCATTACTCACCAAAAACGAGTTATGTGAGTCCTTCCTTTGCTGGTGAGTGCTGAAGAAAATGCGACACAAATGTGATGTGAAGGCTACTTGTACGAGACGACAGGTGCGTTGAAGCAAGAAACCTGTCTACGACCGGTCAGTGTCGTGTGTTTCTCCGTCCTTTTTCCAACTGTCTCTTTTAAATGGCATACTATTTTCCGATGTCCGTGTCAAGAAA